GTCATTCCTTTCACTGCAGGCAAATCCAAGGCTCCGGTGTTCACTTCTCTAGGTGTTGGTGGTGGTGCTGCTCTGGTGATTGCTCTTCTAGGTACAGTCATAATGAGGGTAGGGTTCAGTTCCGGTAGTTGGATAGCTGTCTCCACTGTCTCCCAGTGTGGGTGGGCATCTAGGGCCTGTGGCATGGCTGGCTTCTGCTGTCTCCCGGCGCATGTGAACATCTCTTGTTCCTATTTATAATTGTAGGTTCTTATAGTATGAATATGGTTGAATTTGTTCCAATTAGAAACTTCACCGATTTATTGTTTAAATAAATATGGCAGTGAAAATGGCCTTATATAACCCCGTATCAGTAATTTTTAAAAGTTCCCTTATGGAAACCCACTGCTTTGTAAGCTAGTGTAAATACATGATTTGGGGCTGGAGAGATGACTCCACAGTTAAGCACTTGTTCTTGCAGAGGACCCAGCTTCAGTTCCTAGCACCCACATGGTGGCTCACAACCTTCCATAACTAGTTCCAGGATACTGGATGCCCTCTTCCGACCTCTGTGGGCACCAGACATGTAATACACATATCTACATGCAGGCAAAAAAAACCCATACACATAAAAATAATAAAATGGTTCTTTTAATTAAGACTAGCCAGTTGAATAAGCCTGTGAGGTCAGACCCCAGCCAATGTGGAAACGACATGGTCAGTTCCTGTCCTAACATTCACCCTTTCTAGCATGTCCTCTTGATGAAGAGTAAAGTTTGCTCTGTCGAAACAATCCATTGGGTAGTGGTCTCTTTTCTTTGTGGCCCTTGACTTATTTCTAACAAAGCTTCTCCAAACAAGAAAAAAAACCTCCCCTAGGCTTCTGATTGGAGTTGCAGAATCTGACCCTGAAAGACCACACCTTGGAACTCACACCTTCCCACTCTCCTCTGGGTAGTCCTGCCTTCAGAGTGGCCTGGGGTGTCAGCAGCCTTCGGTGGCCCAGGGTGAGGTGGTTTGTCTTTCATTTTTAAATTGGTTGCTGTGCTCTGGGATGGTTTGTGTTGCCATCCAGCCTGGGTCCTTGGCTGGCTTCTTCTCCGAGCTGTCCAGGGTCTTCTTCTCCCTTTTCACTTTCTTTCCTCATCTCACGGCACTGCTGAAATAAAGCCCAAGGCTCCTTCCTCCTCCTGCTCACCTTCCTCCTCAGGGCAGCACCACAGGACCCTGGTGCCAGCTAATGCATGGCTGCTCTCAGAGCTGCTGTGTTCACTGAGCAAGCAGTAAATTCTCTTCAGGTTGAAACCATTAAGGTGATTGGACCTAGAGGTCCAGTCTCTTCTGGGGACTTCCTGTTGCAGATCCTCCTTCTCCTGGAACAACCATACACGGTCGCAGGTATGTGGGTGTATGAGGGCAGAACTACCCTGTTGGATCCGATTGTGACTCTGCAGGATCCCATTTCTAATTCTGAGACCCAGAAGGCCCTGAAAAGCATCATTGTTTGGGTTTTGTTTTAGTGTTTTTGTTTCCTGCAAACTCATTTCCAAAGAAAGCTGAGCTGAACGCCTGAGGCTCCATCTGGTCCTGGACCTCACTTGGTGAGAATCTTTGCAAGTCATGCTGGGAGCTACAGTATGTTGGCTCTGGAAGCCACCCCAGACCCTGCTGGGTGTCACATACCAGGTGGCAAATGTGCCTCTGAGACACCCGAAAGTTTAGAATCTGACACATACTTCTTGCCGTGGGGTTTGGATGCAGGATGTAGGATGCAGGACTACTTTTAATCTGAAGTTTTGCAGAGTAGTTAGCTGGCCTCTGAAACTTCATGGCCTCTGTTTGAGCTTGGAGGAAGGATGGGGTGTCTGACCCCAGATTCCATTTCCTAAGGGCTAATGACTCAATTAGAATTCCACAAGAGCATGTTTGGGTTTCATGCAAGTTCCCGAATTGTGGGCCTCTGTGTCTGTCTGTATGTCCTGTGTACCTTCCTCAGTCTTGCAGGAAGTGTTCTGGTTGCTAATCTGTGGGCCATCTTCCTGGACATGCTCAGTGGTCCTCCTGAGAGCCCAAGATGAGCTTGTATTAGCCTCAGTTCCCAAGAGCATGCTCCAGACCTCAGGCACCACCCATTGTCACCGAGTCTCTCTCTCTCCTCTCTGTCTCTCTCTCTGTCTCTGTCTCTGTCTCTCTCTCTCTCTCACACACACACACACACACTGTTGTGAGTTGTTTGGGAACACACTTTCCTTCTTAGCATTATAAATTTATCTCTGGATTCCAGGTCTTTGAGAGAAACTCTTCTGCCCTAAGAGAGCATGTTCTGTCTGGTTGGCAGTGGATCTACAGGACCAGCAGTGCCAATATCTGATCTGACCCCACATAGTGGCCACCGTAGAGTCGCCAGACTTTTTCTCGGCTGTTTGGCAGCACTGAGTTCCTGGCCTTCTTGTCAATCGCTGCATGTCTGAGCAGATGTTACTAACTTCTCCAACCATCGCATTGCTGGTCTACCATCCAGGTTGGCACTTAAATAGTCCATCTTTGTGATTCTCTCCACCATCTCCTGCAAGGCATTGTTCAATGGGTAACAGTATTTGTGGTTTTAATCTGATCTGCTAAACTGTGTCTTAGTAAGATTAACCCATTTGCTGTGATTGCCAATGAATTTAGATCACCTGCTCTGGCTGTCACATTACAGCTTCCTTGTTCCTTCCCTTGTATTAACCTCTGCATTTTTTTCTCTCCACTTATTTGGAAACTATAAATTAAACTTGTGTTCTTTTAGCAAGAGCCTTTATTTTCCAAATACAGGCCATGATTTCTCTTCTCCGAGCTGTTCACTGGATGGACCCTCATGGTCATGATGAGGCCTGACCTCTATGGGCTGCCCCTCTGCCTTCTTGGGGCATTTCTTAAAGTGTCAGTTTTGTATTTGTCTTTTTATTTGCTTGTTTCTTGAGACGGGTTCTCACTCTGTAGCCCAGGCCGGATTTGAACTCTGAGTCCTCTTGCCTCTGCCTCCCAAGTGTCCATTTGTTTTGTTTGACACAAAAGTAAAGGTGTCATTTTCAAGTCCACAGTTAGGAACACAGTGTTTCGCTACCTCCTGGCTCAAGGGTCACACTTGTACGCTTACCTCAGTCTCCCACTAAGCATCAATTGGTGCATGACCTACACCCGAATCTATGCCTTTGTTCCCCTCGATCTTGAGTAGCAATGTGAGGCGTGGAGCGCCAGCTTCTGCCATCTGCGACTGTCACTGCCTTTGGCCCTTTCAACACCCAAGTGTGACAAACTTTTTTTCCAGTGGTGCATTTAAGACACCCTTGTCCTTGTTACAGCAGTGACCCAGACACAAGTGGAGACCATCCCCCAGTGTCTGCCCTTCCCCCACGGCTGAACAGTCCTGAGGATGTCTCTGTCACCCCTGCACTCTTGTAGAGTTAGAGACTGAAGCTCGGGCCCTCTGTGACCAGTCTGGGAGGCCATCTTTCCCTCCAATTGTGACTTTGTGGAATAGGCCCAACAAGACCCCACCACGACCATTTTAATGAAGGCCTTCATTTTGCACACTCAGATTGCATCATCAGGACAGGGAGGAGCTCTGGGAAGAATTTTGACCTGTAGAGCCCCGACCACCTTCTGTGACTTTTCCACATACTATGGGAACACAGACCACCAAGTCAGGCCCCACTAGTTCCTGTCACCAAGCTGCAGCTGCCAGCAAGACCATTCCAACCAAAGGTCCCCCTACCTTGTAGGCCTGAAGGACTGTGGAAGATGGCAGATGCCTGCCTGAAACCCTAACTGGTGTGCTTGTGGGAAGACCCTGTGTGGAGCACAGCTATGAGCCAATCCTACACAAAACCACTCCTTGGAGTCTTCCCCAAGATCCTCAGGGCAGGCTCCCTTTCTGTGTGAGAGTCCCCTTCTTGAGACCCCCGACTCTGCAGCCCATCCCCTTGGGACCCCCACACTGCAGCCCATCCCTTTGGGACCCCCACACTCTGCAGCACATCCACCCACTTACCTGGAGCACAAGTCCACCGGATGCTGACAACCATCAGACAAGTTGCCGTGAAGTCTGACGTGATGACACAAGGAACTGACATAGAGATTAGGGAGGTGATAACAGGGCCAAGGCACAGGCACTTGGGAGAGGGTGTGGCCACAGAAGATGGAGGTGTTCAGCCCAGCAGTGGTGGCACACACCTTTAATCCTGGCACTCAGGAGGCAGAGTGAGTTTGAGGCCAGCAAAGGCTACACAGTAAGTTCCAGCACAGCCAGAGCTACACAGAGAAACCCTGTCTCAACAAACAAACAAGCAGACAAACAAAAAACCAGAAGAGAGAGGTGTCAAGGCTGGGGCCTGTATGGGTACACACCCTACTAATGAGCCAATGCCCCACCCTTGTCCCCAGGATGACTTTGGCTAACACTGAGCGAGTCTTGTGGTGAGACTGTGGTCTGGCGCTATTCATAGCAGCAATGAGAGGCAGGAATGGGAGGACCCTGCAGTGACGTAGCCAGTGTCCCCTTGGGAAAGGAGAGACAAGTGCTTTGGGAAATTAGATGAACACAGCCAGGTATGGTAAAGCCAACTCCACAGGAGCGCAAGAGGCAGACAATGACCAAGGAGAGGAGCTTGGCGGTGGTAGCCAAAGGGCAGGTTCCCAAGGTGTATAGGGGGAGTCTAGAACATTCTATCTGTATGGAGGATCTGGATACAGGGCCACTGAAGGAAAGTGAGCCGATGGCGGGAAGTGACCTGCAGGTGGGTGCTGTGTGTCTAACAGCCTGGGCAAGGCGGCATAGCGAGGGGTGTGCAGCCCAGGTGGGTGAACAAGCCCAGGTGGGTGAGCATACCCGGGATAGCAGCCGAGGAGCAGTACAGGCCCAGATGAGGTCCAGAAACCAGCTCCAGCCCCATCCTTACCCTGTCTCTGTGACCTCATGGCCACACCCATCTCAGCCTGGACTCTGCACCTGGCAGGAGGCTCCCACATTGCCCTGCATGCTCCTTCCTTCCTGGCTTCTGTCAGTCCAGGTCTGTGTGGAAAGTTGGGAAGGGGCATGGCCCTTGAGGACCAGTTTACCCCATCTTCCTCGTGGATTCAGTCTTCCTCCTGGACTCTGAGGCTAAAAGGGACACACAGGTGGGTCACATTTGTGAGGCAATCCTATGAATCCTCAGAGAAGGGCAGCTGGAAAGCATCCAGATAGGGCGGGGTGCCACAGCAGTGTGTCAGCTAAATGGGTTCTAGTCCAGGGGCCGAGTCTATCTGGGTGGTCATTAATATGACTTACGTGGCTGTTCCAGATTCCTTGCTCCCAGATTTGTCACCAGTCCTCTTGGTATTGACTGAAAGACAACAGTGCCAGTTCCGAGTGGAGAAGGTTGGGAACAGGGCTGCCTAGCTTAGTTCAGTCCCCCCTCATACCTAGCCCTTGCTCGTTGCTCTCAGAGCAGCAGGGCTGGAAAAGGCGGTGAGACAGAAAGGGATGCAGGGATAGTGCCCAGCCTCTGGCCTTTCTACCCCACTCCTGCTTTGGCAGATGAGTTCCCTCCTTCCTCAACCCCAATGGTGCCCTGCTCTCCCCAGGGGAGGCCTGTGTGAGATGACCTCAGCCAACACTGGGCTTTCCTAACAACAAGAACAATTCCTGTGGCCATTGGTGGTCATTCCAACGTCCTGGCTTTAGAGACTCAGGATGCCAAGTTTTCAGCTGGTGTTCCAGTGCCAAGCCCGCCTGCCTAGTGCCACACTCCCTGCCATGATGGTGATGGACTCCTATCCCTCGTGAACCATAAGCCCCAAGTGAATCCTTCTATAGGAGAAGGGGGAGGGGAAGAGGGAGAGGGTGAAGAAGGAGGAGGAGGAGGAGATGATGACGACGACTGTGACACCTTTAATCCCAGCACTTGGGAGACAGAAGCAGGTGGATCTCTGAGTTCTGAGTTTGGGATCAGCTTGGTCTACAGAGAATGTCCAGGACACAGAGAAACCCTGTCTTTAAAAAACAAAACAAAACAGACAAGCACTCAGGCTACTGGCTGCCAGCATTTGCAGCAGCTCCCCAGCCAGGGTCTAGCTGCCTCCGGCTCTCGACCATGCAGCTCTCTTACCACACAGATCCAACAGCCATAGCCCGTGGCCTGTGCTCACAGCCCTTGGTCTGGTCAACAGGCTAGATTGGGAGGTAATGCCACGAGAGCAATAGCCCAGCCATTGAGCTCCCCATGGTGTCCCCAGCTCTTGGTTACTCTTGCTTCTCTTTGACCACTTACCTCATCAGGACTGACTCAAGGTCCACTGCACCCTGTCTTCTCCCTGGAAGTCAGCAGAAGCAATTCCAGCTGAGATAGGGGCGTGGGTAAGTACCTGCCCTCTGCACCCTGCCCTCTGCACCCTCACCCTCTGTACCCCTGCCTTCTGCACCCTCATCCTCTGCACCTCTGCACCCCTGCCCTCTGCACCCTCACCCTCTGTACCCCTGCCTTCTGCACCCTCATCCTCTGCACCTCTGCACCCCTGCCCTCTGCACCCTCACCCTCTGTACCCCTGCCTTCTGCACCCTCACCCTCTGCACCTCTGCACCCCTGCCCTCTGCACCCTGCCCTCTGCACCCTCACCATCTGTACCCCTGCCCTCTGCACCCTCACCCTCTGCACCCCTGCCTCTGCACCCCTGCCCTCTGCACCCCTGCCTCTGCACCCCTGCCCTCCGCACCTCTGCCTCTGCACCCTCACTCTCTGCACCCCTGCCCTCTGCACCCCTGCCCTCTGCACCCTCACCTTCTGCACCCCTGCCCTCTGCACCCTCACCCCCTGCACTCTCACCCTCTGCACCCTCGCCCTCTGCACCTCTGCACCCCTGCCCTCTGCACCCCTGCCCTCTGCACCCTGCCATCTGCACCCTCACCCTCTGCACCCCTGCCCTCTGAACCCTCACCTTCTGCACCCCTGCCCTCTGCACCCCTGCCCTCTGCACCCTCACCCTCTGCACCCCTGCCCTCTGCACCCCTGCTGGCAGGCACCCCAAGCTGAGTAGAAATGGCCCCACCACTACACATAGCTGTGTATCATCAAGACCTGCAGCTTGTGAGGAGGGGTCTTCAGTGAGCAAGGCAGACCCATTCTGCCATGGGCTAGACTCCAGCCCCCGAGTCTACCTGCTGGAAGAAGCCACCCAACTCCCACCTGCCTTTCTGGATTTGGCCAAACATGACCCACCTGTCCCCAGGGAGGGCAGCCTGGTTTCGCCCATGCCCAGCTCCCATGGGCCACAGATGGAAGGGGTTTAGGGGAATGAAGAGGCAGTGGCCTTTCTTGATGGTCACTTTTGCTGGAGTGGGTTTTCCCATCAAGCACAGCCTGGAGGCAGCTAGCTGGTCCAGTGTTTTTTAAAACTGTTCCTTTGGAAACCATCCCCACCCAGTGGACACCTCTGACCTGAAATACTGTTCGCTTGCTTCGACTGGCTTCCCGGTCCCCATCCACACACACATCCCCTGTTGCCACATCACATTTAAGTCATAGTAAGACGGGGACCTGACCTACATGCCAGGTTACCTGTGGTGGGAGAAAACACTCTGACCCGAGCTGGTGGAGCACAAACACCAATTTGGACAGGTCCATATGCAGGGCCACAGAGCAGATGTGGGACCTCCACGCCTGAGAGTTAGAGGGGACAGGTGTGACCCAGGTGGAGACAGCAGCATTAAAGAGCCCATCCCCAACCCCCACCCTTGTCTAAAGACTGGGAAGCTACAGGACCAGGTCCTTCCCTTCCTCTGCTGCGTCTCTAGAGCCACACTGCCCCCTGCTGCTGCTGAGTGGGCATGGCAGGACTCTCTAAGCTGGATCTGTTGCCTGACTCGTTCTGATGGAACACAGCCCCCAAGTACTTCAGCAAATTCTGAGTGTAGGAGCCAGTTGTAATTTGTAGACATTTCTGGTCTGGGCCAGGGCACTCAGGAAGCCAAGTGAGCTCAAGGCTGAGCCTCTGCCTGCATAGGTATCCTGCCAAGTACCTAAAATGCTCCATGCTTTTTTTTCCTTCCTGTTGGTGAAAATTGAATCCAGGGTGTCACGCATGCTGGGCAAGCCTTCCTTCTACTGCTGACACGGCCCCAGCCCTTTGTTACTTGAATGTGACACAGTCTCACTAGGTTGCCCAGGCTGGTCTTAAACCCGCAATCCACCTGTCTCCGCCTCTTGAGTAGCTTCATAGGCCCCACTTCAGGCCCCGTGCCTTTTTCACTGATTGATTGATTGATTGATTATACTGGGGAGGGGGTCTGTAGCTCAGGCTGACCTCCTCCAGGAGGGCCCTTGTGGCTATCCTGTTCTCCACCCGCCCCCTTCCCATGCTTGTCCCAGTACCTCCCTGCTTTTGCAGGGACATGGAATTATATAGATTTAAAAAGAAGTAACTCAAATGAGATCTGTTTGTGGTACAGGTCATACGGAATGTAAAATTGGACCAGGTTGATAGGGACAATGAGTCAGAAGCCATCCGGGGGGACCTCACACTGATGCTGGCCACCCACAGCTGTCAGTGTTCCTGAAAGCAGATGCTGGACTCATCACTCTGAAAACCCGCCTTGGAGGCCAAAGGAAAAATGAGGAGGAGCCAGAAGACGGAGGCTCTTGTGAGTCCATCAAGAAATTTGGTTTGGACATTTTTCAAGTATTCTCTGTTCTGGCTTCTCCTGGTTCCCTGCCTGGGACTTGTAATGCTAATAACCTTTGCCTTTACTTCCCTTTACATATCTTTCCCGGTGACTTCCTGACTCTCTACACCTGGCTGTTATACAGTGGAGCAGCTGGTGCACTTTGGGGGTCTTTTAAAGAAGTTCACTGGGGGCTGGAGAGACGGCTCATAGTGTTTTCCCAGAAGACCCAGGTTTAATTCTCAGACCCACAACCATCTGAAGTTCCGGTCTCAGGGGACCTAACCGTCTTCTGATTTCCATGCATACCAGGCAGGCACAAGGTGCACATGCAGACAAAATACTCACATGCATACAATAAATAAATAGAATTTTAAAGTTTATATTGTCCCACTGCAAGGGGTACTCCAACTGCTGTACCTGATGCTCCCATTCAGCTGGAAGAAACCAGAGTGTTTGTTCCCCAATGCTATCTGGCAGTTCTGACTACCTCCATAGAGGTAGGGGGTGGCGAAAGCAGGAGGTAAGATTTAGATAGGCAGTCTAGGGTTAAAAGACTCCAAAGGAAAATAACCAGCTTACCTCTTAGCCAGAAATATCCTTGGGCCTCTTGACAGCCTCATTCTTGCCAGAAGCAGAGTTGCCAAAAGCATTTGAAGGGCTCTGATCTGGTTCCTAAATGGCTCTACAATTGCCTCTTTAGAGGGAGTAAATACTAATACAGCAGTGGGAGCCTATAGAGAGAGGATTTTCTGGTCAAGAGAATAGAATTTCTGGCCTGGATGGAGACATAACATTCCAGTTGGGCCAGGTCAGCCAGCTGGTCCAGCCTCATGATGCACACTTTTTATAAAAAGAAATTATCTTGTCAGGTTTTAAAAAAACATAAACACAAAATTGTGTCCCTCTGCTTTTTCATGAAACAATAGCACTTTGAGTTAGGGCATCAATATTGTCAAACAGCAAAAACCAATCAATCCAAAGAACAACAGGATGAAAATAGTCTCATGCATCTGGCAAGACATTTCTGTGGAAGGAATCTTATATTTGTCGTAGCCAATACGAAATCTACAAGTCATGCACATACTTGAAGTGTGGCTGAATTGAGGGTATGAATTTTTCATAACCAAAGCAGTCATGCATGGCTATTGGCTACTAAGCCAAGAGATTACCTGGGATATTGCCCTAATACTTGTCAAGAAGTTAAAGATTGGCTAGGGGAAGAGGGACACTTTCAGTAAATAGATCTGAAACTTCTAGCTGGTTTTGGAGATGGGTTTGGCACACCTACTGTGGGCAGGACTCCTAGGGGAGAATTCATATGCTCTTCCAGCTTTCGGAGTAAAGGCCTGGATGTTGGTCACTCTGGAAGATGCCTATAGTCACAAAAAGAGCTTGAGGTTGGGGCACCATCTGTGTGCTGATGTCACTGTTGAGGGTTACTTGTTTTAGATCAGGTTTCCAGAACCAGAGTGGGGCTTGGACAGTTGAAAGCCTGGGCCCCTTCTGGCCATCTGCATGTTGCACCAGGCTTTTCCTTTGTAGAGGTTTAAGAATGTGTTCTTGCTCTCAAACCCTTTGCCAGGATCCAGCCTGTTCACAAAGGACTGGTCTCCTCTGTGAGCAGACTTGTGTTGTAGGTAATGATGGTTTACAATACTAAACCATTGCTTGCCCTGTGGTTTAATGCCTTAGCTGGTCTAGTGCCAGAGGGTTGAGCCCAGGTGAGTGATGAGCGGGCGAAAATAGGCAATACGGTGTCTGTGAGAAAATGCCAGTATAACACTGTCCAGGAACCAGATCTCAGTTTCATGAACTAATCCCGATTTCCTGTTTTTGTAAACGAAGGTAACATTCCCACACTCAGTGCACAGATTCAGCTCAAATATCCCAAGCTTCAAAGTAATGCTGGTCCTCATTGGTTTCATGCGCTGAGAAATGGGGCATCTTTGTCAAGCTAACACCAACCAGAGTCATCTGGGAGGAGGGAACCTTGCCTGAGGAACTGCTTCCATCAGAGTTGCCAGTGGACATGCCTGTAAGCCATTTTCTTAATTCTCATTGATGTAGGAGGGCCCAGTCCACTGTGGGCAGAGCCATCCCTAGCCCAGGTGGGCTTGGGCTATGTAAGAAAAGTGGCTGCGTAAGCAGAGGGAGCGAGAGCCGGTACACAATGCTCTTCTGTGCTTCAGTTCCTGGCTCCAAGTTCCTGACTTTAGCTCCTACCCTGGCATCTCTCAATGACAGACCGTAACTGGTAAGATAAATAAATCCTTTCCTCCCCAAGTCTCACTGTTGTTTATAAGGTAACATGGAGAAAACTACTACGCTGAGTGAGTTTTGAGGTGCTGTTGAATCAGTGCTTCCCAATAGACAAGATCTGTGTCATTAGGTGTCTTTTGTCCCCACTCAGCACACAGCAGCCACAGTGCGAGGCAACTCCATCTTTTAACTATACTTCGTAAATGACTGTTCTTTTTGTGTGGTTTACAAGAGCTTGTAAACAAAGGTCTCCCACTAGGATCCAGAAGGTTCTGGGGGCATCCTGTGTGTACTACATCCTGTGGCCAACAGAGGGCAGAGACCTGGATGCTGGACAGGGCTTCCCAGTCCAGCTGTGGATAGATCCCTTTTCTCCTTCCTCCCTTAAAGGGCAGGAAAACCCTGTACAAGTCCCACTCCTCCAGGCCACTGTGCCAAGCCAGGCTCATAGGCCTTCCTGATCGGCCCCCTGTACTCATTTCCATCTTGGGTCTAGCCCTATTGTGTGACAAGACTTTTCTTATACTACACACGTCCACTCACCCCAGATAGGGAACCTATGACAGACCAAAGTGCAGATACCACCAGAGTCCAATTTGGTGAACCAATGAGTTTTATTGGGGTTGCCTACAGGAGAAGAAATATGTCAAAGAAAGCTGCATCACCAAAGCCCACCCCAGCACGGGTGACAACTCACAAAGACTGGACACCTGGAGCGCACTGCACAGCCTGCAGCAGCTCAGCAGTTGGGAGAGTATCCTTTCCAAGTGACTCGGTTGATCTAAACCTCTTCTAGGCAGCGGTTCTGTTTTTAGAGTCTCCATTGCAGCTTGGCTTCCATCTGAAGGGACTCTGGGCTTTTCCTGCTTACTCTGGCAGAAAGGGGCCTGGTGAAGTGTGGGGACACCAGACCTTGTTCAGAAACCCACCCCTCCATCAGCCTGGGAGCAGGCAGCTGCAAGATAATGTTTACTGAAAACAATTCAGTGCCATAAAGCTCTTGATAGGGCTCCGATAAGGGCTCGCATCACTGAAACACCATGACTTTGATCCCCCCTACAGCTAGCTGTTTCTTCCTGCTCCCTGCTGTTTCTCCCGGATTCTGGTGCCAGAGATTTAACCACCAGCCAGGAGGGCGAGAAGTCTGGGAGAGCTGGGAGAGGTGTGTGAGAGCTCGGTTGGAGAATTGTGTGTGTATGGATGGCAGAAGTCTTTAAAAAGGGAAGCGTTTTTTCTTGGGGAGTTCTCCTAAACCGACTTGGGGAGCATAAAGTTTTCTTAACGCAACCGACCGGTCCCTGTGTCATCAATCCTCGCCACATTCTTGGATACAGGCTGCTCAGCAGGTGCGACAGTGAAGCTGGTCAATTTCCGGAACTTCCTGAAGCTCTTTTGAGTATCTACCTCCCTGTTTAAAGAGCTTCCCTGCAAGATGGAATGTTTTAACCTGGGAGGAAACTGTTATACAACACTCCCTCCCTCGGACTAACTTCCCATCTACCACACACCTACAAATGAACCCCAGGGCCACAGTGTACTGGGAACCACAGCACTGATCCTTTAAGGGGCCACCATCAGCTCACCTTGCCAACACAGGATCAAGGGATAGCACTTGGCCATTCGTGGGTGCTGATGTGTGTTTGTTTGTGCCACTTTCTGTAAACCCACGTTGACTTAACCATCACACCAGTGTCACCCTGACATAGTGGCATTGCCTCTCTGAAAGCCTCATTTGATCTTGAGAAAGCTGAAAATTATTCCTTTCAATTTTTTGTTTTTTTTGGTTCTCCGAGACAGGGTTTCCCTGTACTGTTTTGGAAGCTATCCTGGAACTCGCTCTATAGACCAGGCTGGCCTTGAACTCACAGAGATCCGCCTGCATCTGCCTCCCGAGTGCTGGGACTTAAAGGTGTGCACCACCAACGCCCAGCTCCTTTCAATGTTTTGGAGACAGTCTCACTGTGTAGCCTTGGCTGGCCTGAAACTTACTATGTAGACCAGGCTGTCCTCAAACTTACAGAGATCTGCCTGTCTTTGCCTCCCGAGTACTGGGATTAAAGGTCTGTTTCACAATGCCTGGCCTTCAAAATTCTTTAAACAAAGATAATCCCCAGGCTGCTATCAACTACCTTCCAAGGGACAAGCCGGGCTTCTCCTACCAGCTTCCCTCCTCATGAATGGATGCGAAGCATGAATTATAATTGGTTTTAATAATAAAAACCCGGAGTCAGATATAGGGGTTAATGCTGAAAGATCAGGGAAGCAGAGCAGCCGGCCACTAGTTCTTATCTCTCCTGAATCCTCAGACCAAAGGGGAAATCCTGTAAGAATCCTCAGACTGAGCCGGGCGTTGGTGGTGCACGCCTTTAATCCCAGCACTTTGGAGGCAGAGGCAGGCAGATCTTTGTAAGTTCAAGGCCAGCTTGGTCTACAAGAGCTAGTTCCAGGACAGCCTCCAAAGCCACAGAGAAATCCTGTCTCGAAAAAACAAACAAACAAAAAAGAATCCTCAGACTGAATGCACTGAGCTCCTGTCTCCTCCCATTTTATATTCCTCTCTCTGCCTAGCCATATCCCTTCCTGTCTCCACCTCCTTAGTGCTAGGATTAAAGGTGTGAGCCACCACCACTAAGCTCTGTTTCTCTTTGAGGCTGGATCAATCTAGTGTAGCCAAGGTGGCCTTTAACTCACACAGATCCATCTGCCTCTGCCTCCCAAGTGCTGGGATTAAAGGTGTGCGCCACCACTGCCTGGCCTCTATGGCTAACTAGTGACTTAACTCCATACTCTGATCTTCAGGCAAGCTTTATTTGTTAGATCACAAACTAAATATCATCAAATGGATGCATCTCTTTATTGTTATTGTCAGGGGTTTGTTTGTTGAGACAGGGTTTCTCCATGTAGTCCTGGCTGTCCCGAAACTCTCTCTGTTGACCAGGCTGATCTTGAACTCACTCTGTAGACCGGGCTGGCTTCCTGTATGCTTGGATGCATCTGTTAACAGTGAATAGAGGCCTCATTGGCCTCATGTGGCCTTTGGGGGAGACAGAGGCAGGAGAAGAGACACCCAGGTGAGCCTGAGAGGGCTAGACTCTCATCAGGATTTGGGACACACTGGGTGCTGGTAGGTGTGCTCAGTCTGGGAACATCTGAGGAGGAGTCAGGGCTTGCCCTCATGGGCCTTAGAGACCTCAAAGAAGGGTTTGGCCTGTGTCTGAGTATGAGGCAATGTGATGTGGGATGCCCCTCTGCATGCTGTGAATATGTTTTATTACCATTGGTTAATAAAGAAGCTGATTTGGCCAATAGCCAGACAGAATATAGGTAGGTGGGAAATCCAAAGATACAGAGAGAAAGATGCCATGTAGTTGCCAGAGGAATAAGATGCCAGAGCATTATCTGTAAGTCATGGCCATGTGGTAATACGCAGATTAATAAAAATGGGTTAATTTAAATGTGAGAGCTAGTTAGTAATATGCCTGAGTCATTGGCCCAACAATTATAATATTAAGTCTCATGGTGATTGTTTTATAAGCAGCTATGGGACCAGACCGGACACATAAAAGCTTCCAGCTACAGCAAGGCTGGGAAGCAGAGGCAGGTCTCCCCAAGTGTCTTCCCAGGTAGGGGGTAGGCCAGAAGCATGAGGCAGAAGCCCACAGCATCCAGAGAACTTTGCTCTCGGAGCCCACAAGGGCTGCCTTCCTGAAGGGCCCCTTCCCTCATCCCCTCACCCTTCCATCTCCATGTGTGGGAGAGATGAATACCAGGACTGCTGGGTCTCATCCCCAGGCAGTCTGGACACCCTCCAGGCAGTCCAGGCACAGATGATGTCACACCTGCTCCCCTAGTTACTGTTCTCATCACCGTGACAAAACACCTGACAACAACTTAGGGAAAAAAGAGTTTGTTTGTCTCACAGTCTGAGTCCATCCTAATGAAGAGGTCATTTTGCATCTGCAGTCAAACGGCAGAGTGCTGGATGCTAGTGATAGGCTGGTCCAGGAAGCTAGCGGTGACCTTGGCTTTGTGCTGCTATTGTTTTATCAAGCTATAGTCATCTGGGAGAAGGGAGCCTCAAATGAGAAAATGCCTCTAGATCAGGTGGCAGCCAAGATGTAGGATGTTTCCTTATTAGTGACTGAAGGGGGAGAGCCCAGCCCAAGGTGGGTGGGGCCATCCCTGGGTTGGTGATCTTGGGTTCTATAAGAAAACAATCTGAGCAAGTGTGAACAAGCCAGTAAGCAGCTCACTTCCATGGCCTCTGCATCAGCTCCTGCCTCCAGGTTCCTGCCCTGTTTGAGTTCCTGCCCTGACTTCCCTCAGTGATGGACTGGAGTGTGAGCTGAAATACGCTCTTTCCTCCTGCAAGATGCTTAATCATGGAGTTTCCTCACAGCCATAGTAACCCCAACTAGGACAACTGCTCAGCTTCTTTCTCATTTTTACTCAGCCCAGAACTCCAGTCCATGGGATGGGTCTTCTCTGGGCTATCAGAGCTTTCTGGAAATGCTCAGTACATCAGAGGTGTGTTCTCATTGGGCTGAGAACAGCATTTCGCTGGTGTGCAGGATCCTGTGTGGGAACCCCTCCCCCTCCCTTCCTGTCCTTCTCCCAGGTCCAAAGGACAGCATATAGCAGAAAGAAGATGTGTCCCAGGCAGTGCAGATCAGGGAACAAAGTGACACTGGAGGGAGCGGGTGAACCAGGGGCACGCGGGGGCTGGACCAACAGTTGTATGTGAGAGAGGCTGGTGGGACAGAACGGTGGGAGGGGTATTGCGTGGATCAAGAGCCACCTGGACTGAGAATGTGGGCATAGATCTGTGTGGACTGGATGGCCATAGGGTCAGATGGTGAGCGCTGGGAGTCTTTAGCTTGTGAGCTGTGTTTAAAGCTGTGGGACCAAGAGGCAGACGGATCTCTGTGAGTTTGAGACCAGCCTGGTCTACAAGAGCTAGTTCCAGGACAGCCTCCAAAGCCACAGAGAAACCCTGTCTCGAAAAAGCAAGAAAAAAAAGCTGTGGGACCATTGGGAGAGCCCTAGGGAAGAGAACTGAGCAGGCTGAAGTCTCTGGCCACTGGAGCACTCCCCAGGGATGGGGCTCAGAACCCTGGCTGAGCAGATGGGTTTCAGGTAGTACATAGATATCCTGGGCACACAGCTGGAGCTCCTTTAGCCTGGTTCAGCCCTCATTCCTTCTATCCAGGGTCTGGGACGTCAATAATGTATGAACATCAACCAAGTACCTCCCGATCCACCCTGGGTCCGCCTGGCCCAGTACAGCGGAGTAAAGTGGCTGGCAGGGACCAGACACCCTCCCTTCCTGCCCCTCTTGAGCCATGGATCCAATAGCTTCTCCTGCTTCCTTCATTGCAAGCTACCTTAGTCTGCCTGGCAACACTGGATTGCTCTACCCCTTTCCCTCAAGGCCTGGAGACCCCATCATGGCTACAAGGATTACAACCAGGCCCAACGGAGGTTAGAGAGGACCATTGGGAAGTGATGCTATCATCAGAGAAGGTATCCCACAAGGTCACCGTGACTGCCACATCACTTGGTATGCAGGCAGATTGAGGGAGTGGGAGAGGAGCTCTGGCCAGAACCTAGGGCAGTGACCAATCAGGTGAGACCTGGGCCTGAACCTCCCAATAATGAACCACACTCCAGGCCTGCTCCTGTCTTCTTTCGCCCAAACCTCCCATGGGCCAGTGACATTCCACAGCTATGACAGAACTCCTTTCAGGTGGTAGCACAAAGGTCACCTTCCAAGGGTGCCCCAGTGGTGGTGGGGTGCTATCATACAGAACCCTACAGGCAGGCAAAAAGCAAGCCCTGAGCACTGTCAGGGAAGACCTCTCCTGTGCAAAGAAAGACCTTGAGGCAGGAGCCACTGGTGAGTTCTGGAAGAGCAAACCGAATGGATGATCCAAACTTGGTCCCGAGCCCTACTGCCCCTTCCCTCCCAACAGCTGTCTTCTCCC